AGGGGGGGGGAAGGGGGGAGGAGGGGGGGGAGAGGGGGGGGGGGGGAGGGGGGGGAGGAAAAGGGGATGGGGGGGGGGGGGGAGGAGGAGGGAGGGCGAAGGCGCTCGACTCGAAGGCGCTCGAAGAATTGGCGGTTTAGTCTTGTTGAGGGAGAGGGAGGTGGGGGGGCTTGGAGGAGTGAAAAAGTACAATGCACGGCAAGTAATTGCGTTTGTGTACGGTGCGTTGCACGTGGCGAAGGTGACGCCACCGCCGTAGGCTCATGGACAGCTCCCCTCCGGAACGTTGCTGGCTTGAGAAATATGCTTGGATTGATGATGTTTCCACGCATGGTATACATGCGTCCTATGATTCTGGTGTGTCGTTTGTTTGTATTATTTCGCCATATTCGCCCAAGGTCCAATGTCGCGGGCTTGTCGCAGAAGCATTGAGAAGTTCTGAGATAGTTTTGCTTGGGGGGTTGTCCCCAAGCACTGTACTTCAAGTCTTAGGAACCAACCAGAAGTTCCCCCAGCCCATCAAAGCTATCATACGGCAGCCATCTTCTTCCGGCGCGGGGTGTACACACCATTAATTCTCTCAAACGTATCAAAGAACTACGTACTTCAGACCTTTGTGCTCGTATGCGTGCCGTCAACTCCAGCACACACAAGCACACGCCACGGAGACGGAGAAAGCCAACAAAGCCTGTATAAAACTGTACCACCCAAAAACAAACAAACATTTTTCGTACCCCTCCCCGGGGGGGGGGGGGTGTCGGGGAGATGTGCGCAAGGGCGGCACGACTCGTCTTGCGCCAAACAAAGGATGCTAGGTCTTTCTTTGGAGTATCGCCAAACACCCAGGACGTGATCGGTCATGCATTTGGCTGCACTGCATGGATCTGGCGCCCTCCCACTCGTTCATCTCTCCACTTCAGGAGCCCAAGAAGACACGGTACGAATTCACTGCCACGAACCGACGCCATCTTCACATCAGGGGCCTCTCTCATCAGTTGATTCGCCTACACCCGTACGCAACCAAGCGTGGTTCTACAGCAACACACGAAAGCCTCTGTCCTAAAGCACCCTCCTGGGACACTCCAGCGCCAAGGGGGGCGACTATCAGTGCCGTAATTGGAACACAATAGGATC